TTTTTTTTTTTTTTTTTCTTGAATAAAATCAATAAATTTCCAGCCTCTTCACATCTGCACTGAACCTAATCCGTCAAGGTTCGGACCATTTCCAGGGCTAGACCGACGGTGTCCACTAGTGTGTTGCGTGCCTGGACGATTGTGGGGGTGTGGTTTTCCTTTTGCCTGCCGGTGCGTGGCCTTTACTCTGCTGACAACGACAAAGAGAATTGGCTTAACCGCCAGCAACCCCCAGTTGGGTTTTGTCACTCGCGTGTGAAGAACGCTTGTTCTTTCTCTTCTGCCTATTTTTTAATTTCCAATGCATGACCGAGAGGAACAGGAGCATTGAATGCGCAGATGTGCAACTCTGATTCCGTCTCCCGAGGCATGTAAGTATACTAACTAGTACGACTATGTTGTTGTGTACAGGATGTATGGATGTTGATACAGTACCATAGACTCCGTACGTTGGACTGTAAAGTCGGTAATATACGCAGAGTCATCTCACGATTATCAGAGAAAGAACTCAGAACTACAGAGTAAGAAAGGAAGAAAGAAATCAGCCAAATCAGCGACTTACCGTCAGATTGCACTTTTGGCCCCCTTTTTGGTTCTTTTCTCACGCTACATCCATCCACTCTTTTCACCTCTGGTCGCATCAATGCCTCTTTTTACTCATCTGCCGGGGCGCCCGTTACTATAATTACGTCGGATGTCTGCCCTAAGCCTCCTTTAGCCGGAACTTAGTCAAACACAATGGACATGGACCTCGTCTGGAAGAGTTCTGTCCTCGGGAGTCACCTTCTACGGTTCCACCTCCGTCGTAGTATCTTGACTACATAGCGATCTAGTCATCGGCCAAGAAAAACTAGACTGACCTGCCCAGTCGGTCGTCAAACCACGTGCCGTCGTCTTTTCGTGACGGACAGTTATGATGCTGATCCTCCTTTCCCCCTCACCTTGTCTCTCTCTCTCTCTCGCATTCGACAAACGTCCCACTGCCGAGAAGGAATGAATGAGGGCCGTGTTGTCCAAAATTCCCAGCCCTGACATACCCGGAATGTGACAAGCGAACCAGTCAGAATCAACCGTGAACCAACGGGGCTCACGTCAAGGCTGAAACACTTTTGCTCATTGACTCCATTCCCCTCCTTGTCTCAGCAGAACCGAGCCAGAGGGGGAAAAAAAAGTAGGAAAAAAAAAAAAAAAAAAAAAAAAAAAAAAAAAAAAAAAAAAAAAAAAAAAAAAAAAAAAAAAAAAAAGTGGAAAGAAAAGAAAACAACGCGGTATCACACATTCCATACAATTTCAATAGGGCGATCGTGTCTTTCTTTCTCCCCCCTCCCCCAAAAAGAACCAAAACCAGGACCAGGACCAAAAGTGATACAGGGTTGGCGTTGTCCACCTAGAATTCTCAGTCAGTCTCCGTGCACCGCCGACTGACGGCCTTTCCCCTTCCCTCAGGGCTCGTTTTTGGTCCTGATCGTCGAGAGTCAATGCGTTGATAGAGGAACTCGGATCATTGGGGGTCTCATCCCGGGCAGTGCATGGATGCATCATTGGAGGATGAGGTTCTATTTTGGCTCGGAACGGATCCCAATCCTGCGTTGAATAGTCTCAATAGTTGGGAGACTTGAGTAGTTTGCGACTTTGCTCCGTCGTTGGCAACCATACCTCAATTCTTGTATGTCGAGGTCTCCTTTTCTGGTCGCAATGCGATGTTATTTCCCCGGCCCGGCAGACCCAATGGAACGAAAGCATTAAGGAGGGACGCTAAGCCTGTTCCTGGCAAACGCTCCACTTCTCACCCGTGGTTCATTCGTCGCTTACGGTATGGTAGTTTCAGGATTCCCTGGCGGTCATTGGATTGGTTCCTCGTCCCGTGGTATGGATGTTGTTTAATTTCATCTGAGGTCAGTTTGGTGGACTGCTGGTAATTGACAAACATCACACAATTACTACTACCACTCCGACTCAGCCATGAGCCATTCATTACCTTCGGTATCTCCCTATGTATGTATCATTGTATGGATGGATGTAAATATAACCCACTGGGAACAAGGGACAGGAGAGTTCACCCAGAGCCGACGAAGAACTTGATCGCCCACCACAGACCCTCATCAGATGAACTCTAAGCTCCAGAGTTTGTTATCCCACAATGCGATTCTCTTACAGACGAGAACCCCCCTGGGCTCTTCTCTGCGTCACCAGGCCCGTACATTCAATCTCAACATCCGTCCCCAATGGCAACGTCTTAACCGCCACACACGTCCGAGCCTGAAGATCAGTCAACCCACGTATCCATGCCATAGTAGAAGTAAGAAACTAGCACGTACCGGCTTGGGATCCTGGAAAAAGCTCTCGTAGACCTCGTTCACGGCCGCAAAATCTCCCATATCGGCCAGGAAGATATTCACCTTCACCACGTCCTGAAGGCTCGAGCCACCTGCGGTGAGGACGGCGCTTAGGTTACGGAGGATTTGTTTCTAGAAAAAAAGAAGAAAAAAGTCCATGAGTCATCCTTATCTGTAGAGGAAAACGAGATCATATCCGATCTCTCTCTCTCTGTCGAAGGAGAACCGTACCGTTCGTTCCTGGATGGGTCCTTCGACCATCTTTCCCGTGCTGGGACTCACACCGACTTGTCCCGAGCAGTAGACCTGCTCACCGGCCACGATGGCCTGGGAGAGGAAGGATGGAGGCAATGGCGCGTCCTCTGTACGGACGGGGGTTCGGTTTGGCTTCCACATCGTTTCTTGCGGGTTTTACTTGTCTCTGTCGGTGATCTGGGGGAGATCGATGAAGTTGTAGGGGTGGTCTTGGCTGGATTGATCAGGCGGGGTTGGCCCCACTGAGATGCGGTGAGGGTCCGGTAGATGATAGTGATGGCGATGCCATTGCTGAGTTGTCGATGAGGACATTGTCTGTAGCGTGATGACCTCGGTATATCTGTAGTGAGGATTATACTACTCGTACGGAGTTTCTGTGGGTGGCCTTGTAGAGTAACATGGTGGTCGACCTTGCATCTCCGGAAGATAGATCTCCGCACTCCGTTATATATAACTAACTATCGTAGACAATTACATCAACGCCACAACAAGGGTTCAACGTCGGTATCCTTGAAGAATTAAAAAGAAGATGGGATTACACACTCGAACGTCTCTTTTTGAGCTCCAATAAAAGAATTCCTCCATTGGTGATCAGAGAAGAAAGAGGCAGAGAAAAAACCACCCGAATTAGGAGAGCTCCGGCGTTGCCGTAACAGGTTATATAGCATCTATTTCTACTCTTGACATTCCGAATGAATCAAGTATACTCTGTTGAGCTGTCTTAGCATTTACTGTAAAACCATGCAGACCTCTCGGTAGCAGCCATAATCTATTTGCACGACTATTGACAGTCTTATTCAGTATTCAGTATCGCTCAGAGAAACGCGCACAGCAGCATGCAGAGCCCATTCATTCACTGTAGACTCAACCAACACATTCACTGCCCACAACACCGTACCTTGGTAACTCATCGAATCCGCACTCATGTCGACCCCAGCCTGACTCCCATCACTCACCATCGTTCTTACTTCCAAACTAGTTCTTCATGGAGTTAGACGAACCGAATCACGGAGGAGCTGCTGCTGGCATCGCAGACAAGGGCACGTTCGACGCAGCAGCCCCGTCTGCAAAAGAGAAAGTCGTCGAGATCGAAGTTCACGGTTTGAAGGCCAGGATCTTCCTGAATTGTTCCGAAGAAGACCTCGTCCCTTCACGATACCTCAGAAAAGCCGAGCGATCACGTATGTGCAAGGACATGCCCCTTCCCTGGCTGTTCCTCTCCACACACCCTTTCCAATTCGTTCATATCCATGGAATCATGTACCCCAAGGAGAGAGAGATGAAAGTGAGATCAGCACTAACCATCGCTAGCCGTGGCACAACGCACGATCTGGCTTTTCCGTCACCAACAGAATGCGCGCCAGGTCAATCTGAACCGGTGGTCGAAGGTCGACATCCGTTTCCGAGGGGTGTTTAAGACGCTTAAGAAGGTACCGCGATTTCGAAAGGGATTGTACGAAGATGATGCAGGTCATTGGGATCTTCCAGCGCGGGAATGTGACTTTGCCAGTGCCGCCAGGACACAGGGACAGGTCGTCTATGCTCTCCTTGATGAGGTGCTAGGTGCGTTGAAGATCACGCGTGAGACAGAGAATCACGAATCTTATTTTTATCTTCGGTACGCTTGCCCTTAAGCTCTGCTGTTTCATTTGGGGTAATGAAGTGGTTGACTTCCTCTCCTAATGTGATGGAGTAAATGCACAGGGTTAACGATAAACAGTGCTCGACTGTTGAGCTGCCAATTGGAGTACTGGACCGGATATCGCGAGAAGTACAAGGATACCCCGATTACGGCGGGATTGTTAGCCGTCGAACATCACCCGGAGCAACATTCTACGCGTACGGTTCTCCCTGTATCCACGGTACGTCCTGCCTAACTTTCTGTCGTGTGTGTTGCATCCGAGCGAACGCAACTAAGCCCAGGGGTCTCTTACAGACAGCAGAGGAGCATGAATTCCTCGAATCGGCGCTGGAGGGAAAATTTAAGCTGCTGCTCTCGCAGTTGCTCATGAACATCCACCGCTTGCACCCCCCTGGCGATAAGTTCCCCGACCAAGAAGTGTTTCTGATCGGCTTGCATGGATCCCGATTGCATATCTTTCGAGGCATCTTCCCTGGACACAAGACCTCTCGGCTCTGGAGCGGCCGGCACAACGCATCTGGAACCGACACGGAGATGAGGCAACTCGTCGTCAGTAGTGCCAACCACCGGTTCTACGGCCGACAGAATCTAGAGCGGTTCATGCAGAAGGTCGAGTGGCTCCAATTGTCAACCTCTGACAGCGAGCCGGATCCGCGCGTCTTTCGCATCCTGGGGAGTAAGGAATACGATCTGTGGGTTGAATCGGACTTTTACGCCGCGCTGCGATTGCTGGTGGGTTTGATCATGTATCTGATGAGCGGGCGCGCACGGTGTGGCATCCTGCAATATAATTTTAGTTGCTCGCCGTATGATGAGGATGACGAGCCCGACTCGGAGGATGAGGAGCTGCGAAGGAAGGTCGCGCAGGAGGAAGACGATGTGGTCCAACAGGAACGAAAGCTGAGGACCCTGAAAAAGCAGAAACGGGAGGAGGATCAGGAGCGGTTTTGGAGGCGAGAGGCAATGCGATCGTCGACAAACGACCGCATTGGAGGATTCAAGGATTTTCGCCAACCGTGGTGGGACTGGGTCTGGGAGGACAAGCATGATGATGGATGTGCCAAAGATGATGCCGACGTGATTTTTGAAGGCCCTTAACCGTCGCTCATCATTTGGTCAAACATATTGGCTGCTCTATGACTGTCCCGTGGCGGAAAGGGATTGGAGAGAGAGATAAATGCGCCACATGCACAGCAAAACTGAGATTGTTCATGCCCATGTGTAGCTATTGTACATAATCCACAGCAACACTTCACAAGAATATCCTACCCTCAATCCCTGTGCCGCCTTTCGGATTCAAATTCGGTAAACCCGTCAATGCCTCGTCCATCCTGTCCGCCGGTTCGGAAATACTCGCAGACAACACCAACGGCATAGCACGTTGCTGCCGTGGCAAACCCACTGATAAGCACGCGGCGCAGGATTTTGCGAGCTCTACTTCCGCTCGTTCGAGGAGGTACATTGGCCTCAGAGCAACTAAGACCAGAGGCAGGGCTAGCAGTGTTGGCGGTATTTGAGGGACGTAAAGCCTCGTCGCTGAACAAGGGTTCGTCTCTCACATAGGCACCAAGCTCGCTCTTTGCTTTCTCCGTGAGAGCCTTTCTAAACACAAGTATATCTCCGCCACCCGAAACGATCTCGTAGCCATCTGTTTGCATCTTTTTAAAATATGGTAAGAATTTGGATGGGTTATTCAAGCGGGGAAGGATTTCGGAAGGGTGGAGACACTCGTGCGTGGTATGAAAGGATGAGTTCGTTTCCGCTTGTGTGATCTGCAGGGTCAAAGGATCATATGCTAAAACGCGGTAAGTGTCGCCGATCAGAGAGCCACCTGCAGTGGTCTGGGTGTTTTCGCGAGCCTGCTTGCCAGGTAATACTGTGTCCGTGTGCTCTTCTTCGACAGGCACCTCAGAAGTATCGAGACTGTCTTCCTCTGGATGGAGTTGAGTCGTGCTTTCCTGCGCGGCGGGTTCGCTTCTTGTTGTTCCGTTCACTGACGATGTGGGCACAGATTCCTGAAACCTCGCTCTGACATCTTGAGCCCTGACATCACTGAGGGGGTCTACATAGGAGTCAAACGCAGTATCCAAGTCTTTGCGCGTCTTGCGGCGCGCCTCCGGCTCTCCCTTCAAGTTCCTTGCAATATACAACGAACGGATGTCGCTAGCGCGCAGGAGGTCCAGATCCTCTGCCCTCTCTTCTCTCATTCGTGGTTCCTGCTGGTGAGCTGGACCTAGAACTGAGGGGCTTGTGGGTTTGTAGTGATCTGGGTTGAATCCTGGAGATCTGGAACAGTTTTGACTGTCAGGTACATTCGCTTGTGTTCCACGCTCCGAATCGAGTTCTTTCACATCGTTTACATGACTTTCCACTTCTAATGCCGGGTGTTCGAGAGAATTCTGACGCCGATGAGATTCATTGAGCGCCGCTTCGCCTGATTCCGTGCGTGTTTGTCCTAGGATGTTTGATGGATCTGGGTGGTTTTCCTGCACCGATTCTGAATCCTGGGGTGCACTTGCACTCTCATTTGAATGCTCTTTCGACCGATCAACAGCAGAGAGGTAGCCGACCCGGTTTTCATACCGCGTGGAGCTCCCGACAAGGGTTTCCGGAGATCTTTTGCCGCCTGTACCGGTGGTTTGCTCGGACGATTTCCTAGGAACCATCCGATTACGAATTGGATCATATTCAAGGTCCTGCACACTCTTGGTCTGCGCAACATGGGTGGTTCCGTCAGTCTTGTCTGCTTTGCCCACGCCGAAAACCGAACGACACGCCGACATAATCCTATTCTCAATGTTACTCGGGAAGTTCAGCGGCGGAAGCCTTCCGCCGAAAAGAGCTGTGTATGGATCGGCGGCAATTTCTTTCTGAATCTGCTTCATCCTCTGCTGCATTCGGGCACTTTCCGCTTCCCAGAAGCTCATCTGAGGGCGTGCTGCATTCTGAGCGGATCCCGGGGCGTTCAGTTTGGACCTAGTCCCGCCCCATCGTGGACTCCACCACGGGTGACGGTAGTGGTGTTGATGGCCCCATACGACTTGGGCTGGGGCTTGTCGTGGATGGACCGCTGGGTTACCACCTGTTCTCGATCGAGAAAGGCGTTGATACTGGGCTATCCGTATCTGTGCGTGGGCATCGAGATTTCCGTATCGTTGGCGAGAATATCCCCATAGTTTTCGGACTTGAGTGGAGCTCTTTAGGACGGGGGAGGAGATCCGGTGTGGAGCTGGAGTCCGGCTTGCCGATAACTTTCTGGAAAGTCTTATCGCTCTCAAATTTGATAGTGGTAGAGGGTACACCATGGTTGCAAACATATAGTATCACATTGCAGGCCAACTCAGGTAGAAAGAAGCTGGGAGCTTCCACATACCTTGTAGCATTCGATGACGTGGGAAAGCAAGAGCAATTGGAAGGCGGAAGAGAGCTGAAGCGGGGTCATCTGATTAACATTGGCAGCCTGAGGCATACAACCCGTTCAATACTCTACAGAGACTTTACATACTGTGTGTACATCTCTCTTTGGCATCACAGCTATAAAAGTCTACTTCTCGCTTGAAAGAGCTCACGAGCATATAGTGCTCACACCTGACAACATCTAAAGATTACACGGAACCAAAATTGCATTCTACCCACAGCATGTCAACTCCTCGCATAACGTTCCGCACATCATTTGGCATTTTTCCAGCGATCTCTTGCGTAGCTCCTGCACGGTCTCCGCCGATTCATGCTCTGTACAGATGACCTCCGCTATGGGACACGTTTCCGGCTGGAGTGTTGCTGAATGGATACCGTATGCATGAAAGCACTCGTTAATGGTCTTGGTCGTCTTCGCAAAGTTTGTCATGGACGGATCGGAGACCACGACGTGGACCGATGCCAGGGTTTTGTTCTGATTCAGACGCCAGATGTGAAGCTCGTGGATGGCCAAGACACCAGGTACCTATGCACGTTGATCAGCATTGAAGTCTATAATACGAAGACGGTTCAAGGTGGCTTCTCCGGATACTGATCCCGAAGCATTGATACGTGCCTTTTCTAGATCGTGTTTCACGTCCGCCGGGTCCAACCCGTTCGGAGCGCTTTCCAACAGGATAAGGCCAGATCGTCGTACTATACACAATCTCAGCTGAGTCACTACGTAGTCAAGATGAGATCAAGATACCGAGAGGAAGTGAAGACAGCATAATCATCATGGCGATCCCCATACTCGTGCCTGGATCTGCATAGTACCTTCCCTCATAATGTGCCAGCCAGATCACCAAGGCTGCAGCCATGACTCCCAGGTTATTGGCCGCATCGCTAACCACATGGAGCAAAACACCTAGCATGCCTAGGTCGTGTCCCCGGGAGGTCGGTTGCGTGCCGTGCAGTTGGTGTTTGTGATCATGATGCTGCATGATGGGGTTGATCATCAGTAAATATCAACATTAGGGTCTGCTTCCCACGAACGAACCTCGGAGATATCTGACTCATCGCTGCTTGGAATCGGGGACAACGGTGCTGCGGAATGCCCATGATGATGGTGTCCGTGGTCATGTTCTGTCATCTTTCAGTCCCGTATCATACCGAGCAAAGCCCTGTTTACCAGAGACCAGACGCACCATGCAGGAAGATTGCGCTGATCAGATTCAGACCCAAACCCACAGCGCCCATGATGAACATCAGCTTCGGGTTCTCCACATCTAACTTGGATTAGCGGCGACGTGTCTGATTCGACAGGAAGACCAACACTGCAACGAAATGAACCGCTCGATCGATTGTAGGAACACACTGATTCCGAGGGCGAAAAGAAGTGCACCGTTGAAGAAAGCGCCTAGTAGCTGGGCTCGCTGCCACCCGAAGGATAAAGATTTGGGCGCATCGTCTGTCTCGGAGACCTATGCCCAGCGGGATCGGAGTCCACCCGTTAGTCATTCGTGCAGTCGTTGAGAGGAATCAAGGCATCCTACCCTGAGAGCCACCAATGCCACTATGAAGCTGATCAGGTCATTCAACTAAATGCTGATTAGCAACGCCTCCACACAGTTCATCTGGAGGTATGAATCCGTACGTAATGGAAGGCATCAGCGACCAAAGCCAAGGAATGCGTATAAAATCCGACTATGAGACAATCTTAGCGACTATCCTCCACTCAGACAACCGAGCCTGAAACAACAGGGGCCAAACACGAGACAACGCAAGGAAAGAAAAAAAAAGAACAAGGCGTGTTTACTGGAAATCTCCGCCACGAAGAAAACCGATGAAATCCCAATCACTGCGGACAAACGCTGTGAGCGCGTTATTTTGAGGCCCATCCTTCCGCTCCTTTTCGTGCAGTTTGGTGTTGAAGGTGGAAATCAAAGCAGGGGAACATTCGAATCGAATTGATCTCAATTCCAAACGCGACCAAGAAAGAATGGGGGAGTTTGTCCCACCCCCTTGCGTGGAGATTCCCTGTGGAATGTATGATGTCGTTCTCTCAACGTGCTGAGAGAAGAAGAGGAAAGGGGGCAGAAGGTGCTCTTTTTATTTGGATCTTGTTGAACATGACAATGGTGAAACAGTTCCGCAGTGAATGGGTAAGTATATCGATACTGAGGTGGAACATGACCAGTATCGGACAATTTCCAGGATACATCCCAAAAATAGAATGGGCTCATACATCCATAAGACTACAGTCTACTGCTATGACTGCTACTCATAATGCTATTGATGTACCATCAATAGTGAAGCGAGAAGGCTGGCTGATATTCTCCTTCGGTCAACATGCCCTTCCTGCACCTACATTGTGATTACTACTGGGTTGCCCCTGACGAAGTCCAGTCTCGTATTACCAGCCAGAGGGACGTGGGAGGATTTTAAATCCAGCCGGACTGGAAAGTGTCCATGAGTAGACACGAAAGAGCGCGGTTGCCGCACATCACCGTTATTCATCCGGAGTCTTGGTCTACGCTCAATGCTTTTGCCTTTGGGGCAATCCTAGCCGAAGGTTCAGCAGTTCCGTTAGGCCCTCACCAGTTACGAGTGTGTCGTGATTGAATCGAATTGTATATAGAGTAGGGCTGGAGATCAGCTTCGTACCGGACTCAAAAAGCGGCGGACGGTTCCGGTTGGACGTCATGACGGACATGCATGGTGCAGAATGAACCACACGTAGTAACGAGGAACGCGTTCTGGCGTGCCTTCAGACTATCGTGCGGAGATCTTCAATATGTTCATACTCATGGCCTTGCAAAACTTGCAAAGTGCCACACATCTATCTAGGTCAATATATACATCCCATGCGTGAAGGAGAATGAAAGGAGGAAAGAAAGAAAGAAAGAAAGAAAACGAAATGGTATACAACACCCCAAGTCTAATGCAACGAAATGGGAGGAACGTAGGATCAACGTGGAATCATCATCACATGTTATCCTCACTCCAATGACTTCTCGCTTTCATCCATGCGTCGTGCTCGCTTTTCCCCTGCTCGGCATCCAGTCCGACACCCAACCCCCGCTCCACCCATTGTTTGCTGCCCATCTCGGAGAGACGCGAGAGCGCCCGGGCAAATGCAAACCGTTCCTCATCACCGCTGAAGATGGAGGTGGACTTGAGGGCTTGCATGGAGAGACCAAGGTCGTCCATCATCATGCGCATCGCGTCGGAGAGATCGCTACCTTCGCCTTCCCCGAGAGAGCTCTTCATTTCCGCCTCGGAGAGGAAGAGGTTGGTCAAAGGCACTTCTGTGGTCAGGACTAGTTTGGCCTGTACGAGATTAGTCTAGTTCGTCTCGGTGCGGTGGCGGTGCTTACCCTGCTTTCATAGACGGCGTCAATGAATGTAATAAACCGACGCGCAAGATCTCGCTGATTCAAGGTCATCCCAGGAACGTCCGTGATGATAAAGGCGTCGTAGTTCCGGACTAACTCCAGGTAGTCCGCGGCTCCTGTCGCTCGACCGATCAACTGCTGAAAGCTAAACTGAGCGGCTCTGCCGCTCGCCAGGGGAACCTCGATCTTGCGGCCCCAGACCTCCTGCGTTGCGGGGTGGGGAGGATCCTTGGGATCACCCAGGAACTCGAACCACTTCTGGGCGTGTTGCTCAGCATCCTGGCCCAGTGGGTGGTGGTAGACGCCGGAAGGCGGCCGAGGGATTTTGCGGTAGTCTGTGGGAGAGTTCAGGTTGATCACATCCAGAGCGGTTTTCAGAAGGTTGATGCACGGGATGAACGACTCTCGCTGGATGCCGTTCTTGTACAGATCGTCGGGGTGCCTGTTGGAAGTGGTGATGAGCACGACCCCATGGGACATGAGGGACTCCAGAAGCCTCCGCAGAATCATAGCATCCGCAACATCCGTACACTGGAACTCGTCGAAACACAGCACGCTCGATTTCTCGGCAATGGCCGCTGCTACCAAAGGCAACGCATCAAAATCATTGCCGTACCGCATTTTGACCACATGCATGCGCTTATGGACATCTTGCATGAAATTGTGGAAATGGATCCGAGACTTGGACACGATATTCGAGGGCAAAGTCTCGTAAAACAGATCCATGAGCATTGTTTTCCCACACCCGACATCTCCATACATATACAGGCCTTTTGGAAGGTTCTCGGGGATGGCTAACTCTTCCTTTGCCTTCCCACGCCCGAACAGAGAGCCCAGGAACGACGTTTTCGGCTGAAGATCCAAGGATTCGGGATTCGGGTGGATGACGGCCGGAGGGTTGTAGCTTCGCAGCCTTTCGTGCAGGTCTTGTAGCGTCCCAATGATCTCTGTGTATGGTCCAATCATCAGCATTCACCATGCCCTTGGGGTTGACCGTAAATAGCGGAGAAGAGGGAGGACGTACGTCTCTGGTATGGGTCATCCCGTAGCCGACCCTGTTGCACGCGCGCATCATACTCTTTTAAAGGACCACCCTGTAGCTCAGTTGCAACATCCGACCTGACCTCGTTCGCCGCTGCTGTCGCGTACTGTCGCATATACTCATGACCCGGCCGGGGCCCACGGATGTTCAACCCTCTGGTTAAATGGACGATTGCCGGGGTTGGCGTCTGGGAACGGTTCACACTGGCATATGGCTGATGTACATTCCTTCTGCATTGTCTGACATAGGCTGGCCTCGTGCCTCGAGGCAGTATCGACACCCTTCGAGACCCCAGCGTGGCTGGAATGTAGTCCACGCAGAGTCTCGCCGACGACCCGCTCACTGGCATCGATGCGGTGTTTAAGAGTTACTTCAACTTTTGCTTTGCCTCCGTTTGGGTTCCTTCAATATGCCCCTGACTAATCGAGTACTCCTGTGCACTAGGATCCGCGCATGTACGGTGTGTATCGTCCGTCGCGCAACAGGATTTGGTCTTGAAGCCGAGGTTATCAATCGCGAATCGGAATGACGGAGGAAAATCACTGTTCGGCTTGCGGGTGAAGGGTGGGGATCACCTGGCAGAAAGTGGTCAGTCGTTCAACTACATTGTAATTCCATATTGACCAACCGGACAGGGTCAAGGTCGTAAGCTTACCAGTTGTGAACGGAACCGAGAAGAGTCCAAAACAACTTGTATGTATAGTAAGTGTACCCTATGTACATAAACCAAATTCTGGGGCGCGAGTTTTGGTCGGAAGAAGTTTTACCCTTTTCGACACCACCGCCTTCTGATTTTAGTCTTCTTAGCGCCTGACGTCCAAGGCTACATATTTTCCGAATTTGGAAGTGCCAGCCACAACGCCTGCACAGCCTCATAGCACGTTGGATCCACGCAGCCTTCGCCCACGATCAAAGAAAATCTTGCAGGAGGAATCTGCTGTTGAAGGTGGCCTAAGGACGGCTGTTTCTCTTTGTAGATATGATGGTTGAAAAGTATAATGATGTAAGGAAGCGTAGAGATACTTCGACTTCTTACAACTCTGAAGGGAGTCGTGACTGAGCTCACTCGTTCTTTGATGGCTGTGGCCTCAATTGATAATTCGACGTAATGTGCTCTGATATAGCACCATAGCACAAGGTGGGCTGTCTGGAGGTCAAATCCCTGTTCACACCTGTTGGTCTTCTGAGCCGCAGTCATCAAAATCGAGCCACCTGAAAGAAAAAACTCCGTGTGATACCCATGTACTTCCATGTCTGAAACCGATGACCAACACCCTCCACTGAAGTAAGAAAGCCGATAACCAAGGCAGCATGGTTTATCTGCCTACCTCCCAAGCTTGGCTCGACTTCCTTGATTGTGTGATCTCTGGAGAAATGCTCAAATGAAAGGATCGCAGTCTGGAACATCATTCTATGTAAACAGGTAAACCGGACCACGGTCTACAGTTTCCAGTCTCGTAAGTGATTTCAAGATCGTACAAAGGGAACGTCGCTGTAATAGTGGAACCGTTCACCTATGGTCGATGTAGTTCAAGCGTACGTCAGTAGTGGCACCGGATATCGAATGTTAATCTCGAAGCTTACTATCTTAGCAAATACTCGTAATACAATGATCCCTGCACTTGTGGCCATTCTGTCTTAGGGTGGCTCTTCAGTGAAGTTATGAGACAGCTCGCAAGTTTATAGAAGTGCTGCTCATATCCCTTGCCAGTCAGTGCCATTATCCATATGCCACTGGTGTCTTGCATTCCATCGCTTTGACCAATGATGCTCATAGATGGAGAAGTCATAATGCAATGCTTGAATCAAACTGATAGATGAGAGCTCGACTTGCAGCTGCACAAAGACTTTCAGATTTGGCACAGAAACTCACAGACTTTCTGCTGAGCCCATGAATTCCCACTACTTCTCCTCATTCCACCAGTTCCAATGGCCATTTGCTCCGACGAACTTGGCGATAACCCTGGTCAAAGCATTGAAAGCGCAAGGAAGCCTCATCTGCTGCGAATCTTTTCACTTCCCCCGTTTATCAGGTGGTCATAATCGCTTGTTACTAATACTCCAGTCCTCGATCGATGGCAGAAGCAGCAATGTCACTGTGTTGGCAGGTACAAGAGGACAAGGCACGTGCTTAACAAGTCAGGTGTCTCGTTCCCTATCACGAGCACATGTACTTCATCTATGAGCTTGATGACGCCAGATATCTTGCCACATATGAATACTTTGGCGTCCATGACATGACCGAGTCCATGGCCACGGCTGAGAGACCTTGTGCTCTTATGCATGAGTAAGAGAGTTGATAGTCCTCGGCAGCAGCAAAATATCATTCTAACCGGCGTGGGGTGTGGGCACGCTGTTCGCCAGACCCTATCCCGAGCCCTTCGATTGCACTGTGTTCTACTTCATCGCCACGACCCTGTTCTATTGTTCGTCTTAGGCAAACACACCTGATACCAAACTATAGCGTCACTATCAAATTCTTGTTCCTGAGCTTTGTTCGTAACCACAGGTGATGGTGGCAGAGGGCATTATTGACAACGATTGGACTGCCATGCCCTTTCAACGCGCCTTGAACCGCCATAGTTTCCTACTGGGCTCGAGAAGCTAAGAAACATGGATGACTATTCCTGGCAGGTATGAAAGTTTCAGCCGAGCCGAAGATTCAACGTTTTCTGCAGCCTGACGTGTCAATGACCATGTCTGGCAGTAGTTTAGAGCTAGCTTAACCAGTATATTGTGCGGCTGAATTGAAGTGCTCAAGCAAATTATAAACGCTAAGGTTGCACTGTGGCTCCCTAAAATCCTGTTTCTGTGACGCAATCTCTGGTCTGTTCTTGAACTACGCACACGTACAAAGTCTTATATCCGCGTTTACTAGTAGACATGTATGAAGTGGCAACTTATCCTTCAGTGGCAACATTATAATAAAGATGGAAACAGTACTTTGGCCCATCTTTGCGATACGTTGTGGGGCCTCGGAGGCTTCTCATTCCAGAGGATGATAGGAAGTTCATTGATCAATTTCTGATAGTATTGACGAAGTTCTAGTCGATACCTTTGGTAAAATACATTCAGGATAACCGTTGAACCTGTGTACACGGACGGAAGATCGTTCCATCCAATGCTCGTACTAGCCATGCCTGCGCACAACTAGACCGAGAACAGCTTGTATCAGTTGGTTCACCGGTGACATGATCAGGTTTAAAGCAGTGAGATATTAGGACCCAAGATGAGATACCTGGCAACCCTTCCGTATCAAAGGTAAATGATTTCTTTGACGAGCTGCTACCACGGGAGGTTGATGTCGATATACATCAGCTTCGATAAAAGTCTCCAGCAGGAGCTACACTTGACGGGAAATGTCTGAGTACTAACCAAGTAAACCAACTAACAGGGCCAAGGAGCCCAGCTGCCACGCGGCCTTACGGCATATGTCTCTCTTATTATTACTAATTGGAGGACCGAAAGTAGTCATGTGGCACTGCATGACAGGTCCATCAATAACAACTGAATATTATCAAGTTGGTTTACGCTAGTTGTGATTCCTTGAATAGGTGTGGGTTGGACAACTGCATGACGCAGCGACGCCGTGGGTTCTCTTGAGACGTGCGAGAGTGTGGTTGAAATTGCTCATCAAGATGTAGTGCAAGGCGTGGACGTAACTCACTCATATAAACCGGCACTTTTCAAAATACTCCCAAAGTAGCTATCAGGATTGATATAGCTTAAGAATCTAGAAAGGAATCAAAAGAGTGTATAAGTAGATTTCGTACGGTTTGTCCAGCCACAAAGCCAATATTGGATGCTTTGATGCCGCAAAATGGGAAGATGTCGCCTGCAGTAGGTCATGATTCAAAAGTACTTCGATTGCACATGAGTCATTTAAATGTGCAGAACTACTGCAGCCTCACAAATGACAAGCACTGGAATTCATTGGAGCCCAATATCATTGGGCCATGGACAGCTCTCGTCCGATGGCTCATTTACAGGGTGCGAGCATCTGCAGGGTTTCATAGCAAAACAGACTATTGGACTACAGCCGTTGTTAACGTCGTCTGGGTGGACCAGTGGCTGTTACACGGCTATGACAGAATGATTCTCGTATGAACCTAAGTCAAAGCTCAACCATGATCAAGGCTTGGAGGTCACAATAAGGCATAACTCTTATGCATCGCACTGGGCTCTGGCGATCAGACAGAACTACATAAGATTGTCAAGAGCAGAATTTGAGGTATGATTAATTTACTGGTGAAACCCTCCAAGTACTATTTGGTAAGCAACGTAGATATGTCCATGAGAATAAATTCCAGGCATGTTAGTCAGATTGTCTATTCCAACTGCGATGGTGATGGCTGACCTTCTTTCCAGGCGCAGTGTCTAATTTTTGGGTCAGAGGGGAGGATTGTTTCGCTCATTACCTGTAGTGCAGGAGCCTCCCTACCTGACAAGAAATGGCTTCCCAATACAAGCATTGAAAAACATTGAAATCAGGTTTGCATGGGGGAGAAGGTTATACAACAGCGGGGAATTCCCGGTGGCCGACCACCATATCACACAAGGAGCCACTGCAGATATCCTTGGTGTAAGTTCCAGTTTGCGGAGCGACCGGTCTATTGCTAAACGTGGGCAGTCTAAACCGACCTGCTATCGGCTCTGGTAGTCTCATTGGTGTCAAGCCCCGCCCAGTGAGACAGCAGCTAGCACGATGGCTGTTCTGTGCCGTTTCGAGTATCAATCTCTTCCTATAGAGGCAATGATAAGATGCTCAGTACCCCAAGGTTAAGTGTTTTAGAGGGCCTTCAGTCTGTAAATTTTATTTGCTGCCTAGTGGGCTTGATTGATCCGCATGGTCTTGTAGAACATTCGAATATACTCAAGCACGGAACTTGCGCGATAGTTTGACCCAGAACTTGTATTGAGCTAAACATGCTCAGAACGGCAATTAGCTGTTTGGCCAGGCTATCCTTGACTGGCACAGTTTCCTGACTCCAATGACGTGGTGTATTCAACCTTGGCTCGGCTTAACTGGGATCCTCACGCTTCTTCTATATCTCGGATGCCACACTGGAGAGGGTAGTTGTCCTTCGCCAGAACCACAACTCACAATGGCCTCGAAACAACCGAAGATTTTGCCTAGAGGACCAGTAACGCACTCATTGGAAGAAGGTCTCTTAGTATCTGCACGAAAAAAAACTGGGACGGCGTGCAATGAGTGCCGGATAGCAAGGGCAAAGGTAACTGAATTGCAGTCTCTCAGCGAATTGCTGATCTTCTAGTCGTTGAAATACTCTAACAGATACGCTACCAGTGCGATGGGCTAAGACCGTCATGCTCTTCATGTATTCAGTTTTCAAGATCGTGTCAATACGGGCCTGATCGACGAAATAGAGACGCTCTAAGAGACACTATTGATAAGCTGGAAGATATGAATAGACGTCTGAAGGACACAAATCAGCAGCTAAGATCTGAGCTTTATTCTATAGCCTCTAGGGACGCAGTATCTAGCGACTATTCCATTACGCAGCATACCAAAGCAACGACCAATATTTTATTCGATACCGATTATGGAAAGATTCCAACTGAAAACTTTACTCGCAATGCGGCAGCAGCTTTTTTCTCTGGAATCGCCCCCCTATTCTACATAATACTGCCAGACGACTGCGACCGCCTTATACATAGAATATATCAAGAGAAACTCAATATTGAACAATGCGAGATCTGCGAGCTGTGCGCTATTGCTGCAGTGGGATGCCGATATAACAGTGCACGGGTCCCGAATGAGTATACGGATATATTCTGGCAGCAAGCTTTGCTTCTACTATATGATGTAATAGGCGAGGCTGATGTACGGGCGTTGCGGATCCTCCTCTGCTTAGGAATCTATTTGATACTGGATAAAAGTATCAGTGCAAGGACTATGATTGGTAAGATACACACCAAAGTTCTCGAGAAAACTGTCTAAGTGATCTGCAGTGTCTGGTATCAACTTGGCCCGATGGTGTATGCCGGACCAAGACTCCGATCGCCGTAGGAAGTTAGAGTGGGACGGCCTCTTCCAAACTTTAGCTACTATTGAATGGTACCTAACTGCTAGGTCTCGGGATATTTCGTTATACTAACTCCAGATCAGTTGGCTTTCATTCGCTCTTGGCGCCGAACACAGTTTAACTAAGGAGGATACTCAGGTAGTAGAATCACTACTCATGAACATACTATTTCTACTAATAATACTAGTATATTGCGGAAAGCGATATATCAAAGGAAAATATCAATCTCTCAGAAACAGTTGACGATGCCACAGCAGCGATGATCTATTCGCAGATGTGGAAAACCTCATTCATATCAGGAGAATTATATAAACAAATACGATCAACTCCAAGTTTGTCATGGAACAAATTTGAATATATCTCATCTGGACTGGACAAATGGCGTCAAGAGCTCCCTGCCAGTTTACAACTACAGGTCCTTACTTCATATAATAGTGGACAATCTCCTGCACGCAAGCAAAGACTTCTCCTAGTCCATATGGTTTATCTCGAGAGCCGAATACTCCTTTTCCATCATTTCTTACAAAAGAATACAGAGTCAAAATTACTACAAATGAGGACAAGCACCCGCCAAACCTACACGGCATTTGCCCATCAACTAACTGGGATGATTTCTGCTATTTACCAGAATAAGTGGCCATTTATGCGAAGTTGGCTTGTTATGTAAGTACCTAGTTCGATTCATAGATCTTAAGGGATGCTTACCAAGTCCGATTTCAGTCATGCATCGTTTCATTGCAGCATTGCAATGCTTTCTATTATATGCCAGTGCCATATTACCGGAGAGAGTATTGACAAAGTAAGAGACACCTGGACTGATGTTAAATCTTGTATGGAGGTATTGTCATACTGCAGCACGGTGGATAGTGCCGCTGCTAGACTCGCTTATATTGTCCGTTCTTCATGTACAAGTCTATACCGGATAACCAACCACTCGCAAGAGACACCTATACCACGACAAGAGCTTATGAGTATAGGGGCAATTCTCAATGACGAGGTTCCAGATCGGAGATGTCTTGTCGAGACGACGGAGGAAATCGTTCACCGAATGGCATTGGGCATCTTTAGTGGCAGTTGATTATGTCGAACGTGGGGTTTTTTCCTCCAACCGACGCAATATTGATGAGACTTAGACTTATACTACCAAACGCGGCGATGCGAATGTAGAAAGTTTGGGGGAGGGGGGTTAGGGTAATATATATGGAACAAAGCTCTTCCAGTCAGCTATCAACGGTCATATTAAGATCCAAATTTATGGTGTTTGGTAAGGGCAGGTGGGGTGGCCGCACGGACTGGGATTTAGGTGACGATCTAGCTTCAGCCAGCCTGGGTAAGCTAGTTTGTTTTTATATACTAAACTGCGAGTAGCTAGCGTTTGCCTGGTGATCAATGCGTCGTACTGCAGTGCAAATCTTCTGTAGTAGTCCGCAGGTACTCAATAACAAGGGTTCCTTCCACAGAAGTGGTGACCAGCAGTTTCAGTTTATGCTTGCCAGATCATCACAATTCGTCCTAGCAGACTAATCTCTGGCTAGACTGTCAGATTTGGACAGAATGTTGCTAAGAGGACAATTTGCTAAGATTTTCTATTATCAAGACACAAGTCTCTACCGCCAGAAGCAAGCGGCCTATTGATGGCACCTAATTGCCAATATAGTGAAGTCATGGCACGTCTTTTGAAGAAAGACATGGCCCTTCAGTTGACACTATTTGAGGCAGCTCAGTCATCTACCCTAACGTTCTCCCCACTGGAAATTTTCGTTAATGAAGTACCATCTGCAGAACCACTTGAGGTTTAACGCATAGCATTATGGTCCGAGGCCTAACGACTCTGGCACTGCAGGTCAATGACATTAGAGTAGACAGCAGAATGATGGCTAGGAACTTTAGTGTCATTGTCGCTGATCTCATTGTTTGGCCAGTGATGTTACATGATGGATTTCTCGCAAACAAAATCAAGCTGCAAACTTATTGTACGTACAATCACACCCACACTTGATGGGTAGAAACTAATAAGTTGAGTAACCGACGAATAGTATCACCAAGGCTTGCAGTTTCGCTTTGTATGACACTTCTAGTTGTCACCCTATCGATGTTGTGCTCATACCCCTGAGGCTCTCCAGTGCCAAGTACCATACGTCGGACATTGTCATATAAAGGTTGTAGACTAGTAAGGAGGCGATGAGCAGCAACGTCGGCAGATCCACAGAATTGAAGCACGGTGAAACAGGAGTCAACATATGCAATGGACTCCGCGACACCCTCCATCCCAGTTGGACTGTAATAATTTTGGCAAGCACTAATAAGCAGCATTATACTTGCATCAAACGTTGCTTGGCTACAGTTCTAAGATTAGTTGTAGAAGGAGAGAGTTGGGTGAGATGTCCACTCACATTGCTAACCAACATCGTGTCATGAGTGCCTCTTGACCGTGAAGAAGAGATATGAGGCGGGAAAGTTGAATAGCATATTGCGTGTACTTAACGTAAGCTGGTTTGGGCATATCGTTGAAGAAATCTGCGATACAAGTCCCATTGTTCAGGCTACGTGCATGCCAGTGTGCTTTGATATAATGACAGTATAGCAGGAGATAAGTGTCGAGAAAGAATGCATGCATGAGGTATAATGACTTTTCTTGTATGAAGGTGAGCATCCCGTTCGAATGGCGGAGTATAGACACATGCAACTCAGGTGGAAGATCTTGGTACAAGTTATCGAGATGCGTTGCTATTGTATTTGCATATTCCCACGAGCACTGCTCAGGTACACAGATCTGTTTGTAAATATTGGACGCGACCAAGCTTATTTTTGCCATCTGTGTCTGGATCTTGTAATCAGTCCGAATTTCATGGTCCAAGCCCAGCTGGCCTGGACTTTGAAGGGTATGAATCTGTTCCTGTATCAGCAAGCATAATCTACAGAAAACAGATATACGGTTTTCAACTATACTAATTCGACTTCGTCTGCATGCACATCAGACAAGTAACCGAGCGAGTATGAGAGCCATCTAAAAGAGACCTGTGGTTAGCTGTGGCGGAGTAGTAGGTTGAAGGCTGTAATGGCTTACCCTTCCAGGAATATCACTGTTTGTAGTACTCTTCTGTATTCGATGAGAGAGTATTCGCCCGTGGAAGCTCGTGTGATATCTGCTTTGGGAACTCGTCTGGCGATATTCAATGCAGACACTTAAAAGAACACGTCAGAAGGATGTTGAATAAAACCGAGCGTAAGACGTCGCACTTAACAGTAGTCTCGCGTTTGTAGTCTTGTCCATCATAGCACTCAGAGACAAACAGATAAAAACACGCATTCCTTGTATGGTGCTCGTCTGAGCTAATCCTTCCAACTCACTAGTAGCCATGTAAAAAAAAGCTGTTCTAACTTCATCTGCCACCTTACCCACTTCGTAATGACACCCAATCGCTGCGATGGCACAGAGCTCACACACGTCAGCTTTCGATCCCTCCCCCTTACAATACACCCGTTCAAGCAACGACTCTGCGTCTTGTCGTGTGATAATGTAGAACAAAGTTCCGGCACAGCGAAAGAATGCGTTTAAAGCAGTCCAAGCAAACTGCTCCTGTGGCAGTACAGCTAATCTGGCTCCTGCATCGAAAGCCGAAGCTATCTTGGTATTGTCTAACGTTGGATGAGTAGCGGTGGCGTTGTAAAACACCTGCGTGATATCTCTGACCTCAGCAAGGCTCTCATGAGTTTGTAGCGTAGGTCTTGTTTGCTGCTGTGAAGGAATCTGTTCAAGCTCTAGAGTCCTATGTATGGCTTCCGGAGAGTTATTACAGGACAAATTTTGGACAAGTCGCTCAAGGTATTGGTTTCTCTGCTCGAGTGCCACAATCCGGGCATTCCATTGCTCCTTCGTTCTCCGGTCGTATCCTGAATAAGCACACTGAATCTGGAGGTTTTGGCAACTCGAACAAGCAGGCTTCAGCCCGTCACACTATTAAAACAGACGATTAGTATCCGCACATATCTATATGACATATGATAGGCACTACCTTGGTGCGCCTTGTACGGCATGCATCGCAAGATGGTCCTGCCCTCTTTTGGACTCCCCTCTGTTGGCTGGAATCTGTTCCAGTGAGGGATAGTGGGCCCTTTGGAACAAGTTGTCGTTTCATTGCAGTCTGGGAATAGTGGGTTTCGTGTTGGCAAAAAGGAAAGATTCTTCTTCAATGGTATAAGGCCGGACTCTATGCTGCCTCGTCTCGGTTTTATATTGGGAAAGACCCGTGACTTGGACAGAATTGCTCCTTGAGGCAGTATTGTTCCGGGACGATAAAAGTGGGTCATGTAGTACACCTCGTATCTCTTATTGCTGGATCTCATCCATCTAGCGAATAGTTTGTGGCTTTTAGATGAACAGCCACTAGATTATTGTCATGATAGGCTTACCGACGGCTTGTTTTGCCGCCACCAATTCAGAATCCTTATCGCCTTGCAGTCTAGACTGAGATGTTTGCCACAACGATGTTCTACAAAACAACTTTATGTGGAGATGCCCTGGTATCTTGGCTTCCTAGTTTGGTCCAACGTTGATAGCGGCCGCCGAAGGACGACGGGTGAGCGACACCTATAGTACCACCACATCTCCATTTTCATATATAGATAGAGGCTCTAAGGTCTTAATCCCCATATTTTGCCATATCCCCTATGACGTTATTAACAAGCTCATTGGCCTTCATCTTGAACCGTTGACCGGTTATTCGTTTTTGCAAGTGACAATGGGTCCGCGGCAATATAAGCTCAATAGGTAGGATGGCGCAGGTATAGGAATAAATTAACAGCCTGCCTTGTGTTCGGAAAATGCGGACTGCAATGAGATAGGTTGTCTTAGGCTTGGCCACTGATCAAGGAAAAAGGGGTAGAGGAGTGAATCAAGGTTGTTCTGAAACTCAAGTCTAACGACGATATACAATCTATTGGTTGTAGTAATATGGGTTGTATCGCGCATCACAACGCACAGGGTTGCAGGACCACCGGGCTGAACTCATCCTCGTTCCACTGCACGTTGAAGTTTAGGTTGTTTCACATAGCAAATCGTAGCATGGCGACTTCGCCAACGGAAGATACTTGGTAAACCTCGTATGATGCGATGCAGAAAGGCAATGTAGGTCGCACCGCGAGGTTGATCAACCACAGAAATGCCGCTTTACCTGAAGAACATGTGATAAACCAGCGTCGAACCAAATCCTATGGAAAATTTTCTGAAGCTACAAGTAAAGATTTATTGGTGGGTATGTATGGTTGGTTCATCCGATTGTCGGGGATATCTTCACTTTTGCCTTTTGTGACACGGAATGCGGTGATCCAATAATGCCTGTGACCTCCGTTGGCTTATTTCTTTGCGTGACCGTCCAGGGCAAGAAACAGAACCAACACACGTAGAGATATTCCAGGATGCTATAGTTTAGCTTGTATTGATCTTTCGTTGTACCAGATCATGGTACACTTACTAACACGTTTTGTCAGGAGTACTGCTGTCCAGTGAGTAGAACTCTTGTGAATGGGTTAGCCACTTAGGGTAGACCATGAAATTAGACTACTATGGGAATCTGGGTAACCTTCTGGTCAGAAAAGACCTTGACGTCTGTATATCAAATAGTTTGAAAAGCTAGGATAGATAGTTTATTTTGCCTGTCCAGCTATTTGTAAAGTGTAAAAGTTTGAAATTGAAAAGTTCTCATACCAATTACCGTATTATAATCTCGCAATTCAATTCCTATCAAAATTCGCATATCTCCATGGGGCATAGAAAATTGACCCGCGATACAAGTACAAAAGATCCGTAACAAAATTCTTGTTTACCCTTGCAAAATCTAAACTGGTGACGGCACCTCGGCTGACTTGATAGGGTGCGGATAATTTATGCGAGCAAATAATAACATAGAAACATGTCAATTAAGATGGCCCTTTGCGGAGAAGAGATTGTCCCCATCCATCATTGTGCATGGTGGCGGTGGCGCAGATCCCAGAGCCTTCAAGTAGGCGAAGGCCATAAAGCGAATCAATACACCTGTCTCACGGTATATACCTTTCTCAATATATCCTCGGGAATGTGACTGGTAGCTAGCTCGCCACCTTCGATCTTCTATCTTGCAAGGATAGAACTACCACCAAATCTTTTCTAAGCCTACAGCACGAGAGTATTTGGACCACCAAAATGATCCCCACGCTATAATATAGAATTTGCTACATCCCAATCATTCTCAAGAGAGAAGAAACTACAGGAATCGAGTCAGAACACTAGTTGACCGATACATTGTGTGTGGGACTTGGATCTGATGTAAGATTTTGTGTCCTTGTTCGTAGCGTCATGTTCTCAAGCTAGGCTTTATTTGAGGGAGATGACGTATCATAATTGAAGGCCTTGATTATTGGTCACGAGAGTAACCCTAGTTGTCTATGAATGTGCGCAGTTATAATTCTTCCAGGTTCGCTCATGTCCTGCTTTACTTTAAAGTAACCCTATGCTTGATGCTGCATGGGACAGTGATCTAGCCCAGGTGATTCGCTCGCGTATCGTTGCACATCTTCTGGTACACATATCATCTCCGATCTAAACATTAAACAGAGACTGGAGGGAGAATAACCCGAAAGCAATACGTGAGGCACCGTTAGGGTGCATTTGTAATAGTACAGCGGTAACCTTGTTTCATTTAGGAGACATCTCAACATATATCACCCTTTGTTGTGTTTCTGTCATGAGTCTTTAAACCAACTTTGTTTCACTATTTGGATGCTGTTTGATGCCTACACCATGTCGAATGACGCTTCAGCATAAACCATAGGATTATCTCCGCGGTGCAAATCTTCATCACTATTGTTTCCAATGCAGACTAGCCAACTTCAATTGTCTTGTCTGCGTTGAGTCTCCGAGCCGCGAGTTGCTTTTCACCTGTAAACACTTGTGTGCATGTCAATGGGAATGTGCGGTATCACCTCTTAACACCAGCTGCGCTTTCTGTCAAGATTAACTGTCGCTTCAACGGTAGTCATTCACCGGCCTAGCCATGCCTAATGGCAGCCCTTATTGATTGATTCAACTATTGTTTCAATGTTAATCATCCACCGGTTAGTCTAGACCAAATAGGAGCCTTAGATAGCTAGAATATTAATTTGGTAGAACCTATAATTCACAATACAACATCATGAATTTTCATGCTTAGTCCTCACGCGAGTGTATTTCCATAGTCCAAAGTCTAGGCGTAGCCAAACCTTTCTTTGCGTACATCCCCAAGCCCTCTCATAATTCAAGCGCTGGCCTTGCTCACAAGACCAGATTTACGTTCCTACATTGGATTGCTATGTAACTGTTCCTATTTGCTATGGTGTCTGTTGAACCGCCTTTGTTAGATCTCACCTACAGCCTTGCCTGCCCAGTTGAAAGCAAGCCCCATGAAGGCTTTGCCTGCTGCTTGAAGGTTTCTCGGACCGACAGAAACTCAAAGATTAGTTGCTCATCAGCTGGCGAGACGGATTGGGATTGCTTCTCGAAACTCTACAAGCAACATCTCAAATGCCGGACCGAGAAGCCGTTGGCTTATCTTTCGAGACGATAAATAGCACTAGCATCATCTTGTTGTCCACCTTTAGTACCATTCATTGTCATTCGGGTATTATCTCAAGTTCTCAACTACGTCGCATCTACACTCCAAAATGCCAGCGGTACAGTATTCAGAGCCAGCGAACGCTGGTGAGGCATATCCCACCTTGCCCCTTCCCCGAAGGGAGAAACTATGGGTGCGGACTAGTTCTAACGTACTGTGCTCTGCAAGCTGTCTGATGGGTCCGGCTCAGAAGAGAGGAAACTCTTGAAAGCTGCCCTTGCGGAGATGGAATGCACCGTCACCGAGATCACAAGCATTATTAACGGCAAAAGCATCCTCGCTGGCCACAAGAGCAAACAAGTCAACCCCTAGAACCGATATACTAGTTATCAAGTGCGTTGGCATGGGTCGTTCGCCTGCTCGCACGAATAAGCACGTCACGTGCCACCGAGTGATAAATCACCTGACTGATATCTAACTTTCCGCCGACTTTCCAGCACTTTCCGACAACCTTCCATCACTTCCCACAAACTTTCCACTACTTGGCATCACTTCCCGACAAGGTTCTGCCTCTGCACACTTCTACTGCACCAAAGCTTTTTCAATATGAAATTTAAACAATATGATGTCTGTGATTTATTAGGTCGGCAGCGAACTAGTTTCGGTAAAGATAAGCTCCAGCTACTACATACGCATGATCTCTTTATACGACAAACCTATTTCCATACCTACAACCCATCTAGTAAGAGAGAGCATAATGTAGTTAGTCGTCGACTCCAAGCCATTCGGCAATTAAGTCCTTATATCTGGATCTTGGTGGCTACCAGCCTGACATTCTCCCATATAGCACGGCTCAAGGATTTTGATGAATGCATTAGGAGGATAGCGGATTGGAAGGATATCCATCCTATCCCTGGACACCTAGAAGGAAGGGCTCGTGCTATATTAGAAGGACTTGACGAGCAAAGGGACAGAATAATTCGGGGTACGACACAAGACTAGGGTGCTGGACCAAGCTAAACACCTATAGAAGGGCAAGAAATCGGGAGAAAGGTCAGCCAGAGAAATGTACCAAAGATAAATTGTATGTGGACTGCACTATTCTTCTACTCTATCTACTAATTTTCATAGCATTTCCAATGCAACTGGATACATTCAGCCTTGCTACAATTCCAATCAACAACAAAACAGACAAAAAGATTCAAGAGAAATGGAGATTCCTCCATGCTATTGATGCCATGTGCCAACCCGATGAAGCCAGCATCACGCCAGTGATGAGCGATGAGCAATTGAACGGTCTCCTTATGCAACCATTTGAGAAACCTATACTCTGGCGGAACTTTGCTCAGCAGTATCCTCTTCATGGCATACCGAGTTCGATTTCAGACTTCCTTCAAGAGCTTCGCCAGTTGGATATCGAATTTCTAGAAGTTCATAACTATGCTGAAAAGGTTACGAACTACAAACTATCTATGGATGATATTGTCCACCATTTTGAGGCGCTGCCAGAAACTCGGCCCCCGTTAAACTTCCTAGATATTCGCAACCAAATCCTCTCCCGTGTCCCAATACATGTAAACAAAGTTGATCTTCTTCGCTTGGCACTGCGACGACAGAAGGGATCAGTTGGGAAGGGCAACCCTTTAAGTGCTCTGCTGGACTATGCAGACCATGAATTCTTTCTCCTATCCAGCAGACACTCGATATCGCCTCTCCATGTGGATACTGCGGGACAGCTAACATATATTATTGGCATCTCCGGCTGTAAGACTTGGTACCTACCTCGCAAGCTGACCACTAAAACCTACGAGATTCTTGCAACATTTGGAAGCTCGATCCCAGAGACATATTCTGACGGCTGGGTGAAGATAGATATTATGCCTGGAGATCTACTGTAGCTGTCCCCACCCCAAATACACCATCATCTACTAATCCTGGCCAGAATCATGCCACCTGGATGTCCACATGCAGTCTTCACACCTGAGCACTCTCTCACCTTTGGGGGAAACTTTTATACCCTACCGCATCTTGGGTCCAGTCTCCGGGTACTGGCTTTACAGGCGAAGTTTAACTTTGTTTTCAGTAATGAATCTATAACGAAACAAGATTATTTGAACTTCCTTGTTATGTTGGAGGCATGTAAGGATACAATGGACTCTCAGCAAATGGCAAGCGTTGCTTCAAGTGGTATAGGATGGGGGATTACAGATCAGCATCAAACCCGGAAGGCTGTGTCCAATATTCGTTGGGATGGACAGGATTTCTGGGCGCTACAACAGAAATTACGACTATTGATCTGGGACATACAAACCAAAGGACAAGCAAAGTTTGACTAGGAGTTTCGGTTCTAGACTAGACCTTCAGCCACTGGACAATAAAACATTGAGTGTGAATCAGAGGAATTCTAGGGCGGCAGAGACAAGTGAGTAGTACAAGTACAGACTCACCTCTTGCATTTTTGTTGAAACCTGTCTCGGATATATCAGCACACTCGCCATCAACATTCAATCATACCGTAACAGATACAGATGCAGGGATAAGTGCAGCATAGGATCCTTCGACGTATTAAAGCCTAGCACACCTAACGCAAGTGTCTACTACTGGGAAGTTCCCTTTTTACCTTTGACCTCATTTGCCTCCTGGGCAAGAGGACCCTTTCCCAATAATACCCAATGCATGGTGAGTGATTTGGTTACCTTCGATACTGACATATTAAATTTCGGAGGCTTCTACGTAGTAGGATAATCTTTTTAACATGGTAGTTATATAAGGCAATCAAAGCATAGTTTTCAACTTTTCATATCCCGCTGTATTGTGTGGGAATTATGTAGTTATTCAGATCAGATCTTTAGATGCTTTAGATGAAACGGCTCAACTCCTTCTGGAAGTATAGGCTCAGGAATATCCATTATCTATCTACCTAGAAAGCCTAGTTAAGCTACCAGTGTATGTAGTCCTGGGCTGAACTCTGACTACCTGAGGCCTTCCTCGTAGACACTGCGTGCGTGGCCGAGTGAAAAACGCCAAGATTTCTCATTTTGACCGGTTTGTAGACTTAGGCTGCCGTACCCTAGGTGGCCGGTGTCCTGATATAGAGCACTATTGATTTAGATACATACAGTACTGGTTTGATACAGAATAGTTTCGTTTTGTCCTGGAACGAACGCGGAACGATGTGAGTGGAAGGGAAAAGTAAACGGGCCAAAAGGCTGGAGCTTCAACTTCATCTGCAAGGTCCCCTCTGTGATTGCCCCACTCTTAGTACGTATGCTTTTATTTTACTATTCCGCCCTGGACTGTGATCTCTGCATCTTCATGCTTACTTGTAACTTTCTATGTATATCATATCATGCATCACCTATACATTCATAGCCCCTTTTTCAAAATTTTGATTCCTTCTCTTCCACCGCCACTACACCTGCTCTTTGAAATGCTGTAGAAGGCCTTTCCAAATGTCCCTCCATATCTTTCCTACTATTACCCCACATATGCAGACACTTAGGTAACATGGACAGAGACACCTAGTAAGATCGGCCCACCTCCGGCAAGGCTTTTCGCTTCCGGAATGTAGTCTAACTGCAACTAATCTCAGCCGTACTAGTTTACATCAGAGGCAAGCATGGACTCCCCCAATGAACAGACAGCATGGAGGGGCCGAAGCGCAAGCTGTTTGTCTAGACCATCTTATGCGGGGCTTTCGCTACTCCTTCCAAAGAGATCAACCGGCGCTTGTCCGATCTTTTTTTTTTTATTTTTTATTTTCTTTTTCACATTTTTGCCATTACATCTTCCTTGAATCGTTGAGAAGATATCCACGTCGCACTCCTGGCAATATCAATATAATGTATCTTTGGAAGTATTAGTTTATTAGTAGATCTGCCATCGACTATGTTATTGTTCTTGTTTTCGTCATCACGAGCTTAGTCGAGACCAATCGGAAACGCCTATTAACGCAGACGGGGATTGTTAGAGTTATCACAAAACACACTAGGTAATTAGCCATATTATTCTCTGTGTATCAGTGACATAAGGATTATAGTTCTTAGTATAGGACGGCTAAGGAGGGCTGACCGAGGGTCGTTGTGGTCGAAAACTATTGGCGGGGTTCGTGGACGACAACAACCATCGTTGTTACTATAGCATCCGGTCTCCGGCTCAGAACCGCCCAATTGCAGGCGTTCTCGTCCTCCGTGCCACCGCTTAAGCTCGGATTTAAGAATCCACCAACGATCTTATCTGTGAATGATCGCCCCACCGGCCCCACCGCGACTCGAACATGGACGGGAGTGGACGTGATTGGAGATGTACTCTTACCCAATCTAGACTAACCCTATCAACCTTTGGTCTCCTAGTAGTTCCTTATTCTTATACCCCACGGCTGGAAGTTCGTCATAGGAATTCATCGACTACCAGCTCCTCTCATATCCATGATCTCCACACATGTCTATGACGTTATGTGAAAATGGAGCGGAATCTGGACAATCCGCGCTGGAATTGAGGGGTAGTAGCTCCATGCTCAGGTATAAAAACGCCCATTGAGATGTGATGAGATCTCTACTCTCACTCATTCATTATATCAGTTCATTTTCAAATCTGCTCAATTCACTTTACCCATCATCATGACGCTTCAGGACGGTGCTCGCTTTGACTTCATTGTTGTTGGCGGCGGCACTGCAGGTAATATTGTTGCCTGCCGCCTTGCGGAAAACCCCAATGCCAGAATTCTGGTGGTCGAAGCCGGTATTGGCAGCTCCAAGGATAATGAGGAGATCCGGACTCCCGGCCTCGCCATGGAGATCCGTGGCAGCCAATACGACTGGGCTTACAAGACCACTATGGTGAAGCGTGACGACTATGAGCGTATCGAGAAACCCAACACCCGTGGAAAGGCCCTGGGCGGCAGTTCATCCCTGAACTATTTCTCCTGGGTGCCTGGTTCGAAGGGTACTTTCGATATGTGGGAAGAGTACGGCGGGAAGGAGTGGACGTGGGATCCTCTTGTTCCCTACCTTCGGAAGAGTGTGACTTACCACGATGATGCGGGCTTGTACCCACCGGAACTCAAGAAGATCGGAAGCGGTGGTCCCATCCCGATTGCTCATGCCGATCTCATCCCTGAGATGAAGGGTTTCCGTGACCTCCTGACCAGAGCCTGGAAATCTACCGGCCAGCCCGTCACCGAGAATATCTTTGATGGTGAGATGCATGGCCTGGTACACAGTGTCAACACGATCTATAAGGGCCGTCGCTCGGGTAGCTTCCTTGCCGTCGCGGATAAGCAGAACATTACCATCCTTCCCGAGGTGTACTCAAAGCGCCTCATTATTGACGATGCGGATCGCACTGCTAAGGGTGTGACGGTGATCACAGGTACTGGACAGGAACTGAGCTTTTATGCCACCCGTGAAGTGATCGTCTCTCAGGGTGTTTTTGAAACACCCAAGCTCCTAATGCTTAGTGGTATTGGGCCAGCTCCCGAGCTAGCTAAGCATAATATCCCTGTGATTGTCGACTCACGCCATGTCGGCCAGCACCTGTTGGATCACCCCGGTGTCCCCTTCGCGCTTCGTCTGAAGGATAGTTTCTCGATGGATAACCATGTTTTGCGCAAGGGTCCTCTGCAGAATCAGGTTTTGTCAGCTTATTCCAAGGGTCATGCTGGTCCTATGGGATCGCCCTTCCTCGAGTTGATCGGTTTCCCTCGCATCGACAAGTACTTGGAGAAGTCCCCTGAGTACCGCGAGGCAAAGGCTGCGAATGATGGCCTCGATCCCTTCTGTCCATATGGCCAACCCCATTTTGAGCTTGACTTCATCCCTCTGTTTGGTAGTGCCTTCCAGTGGCACTTTCCACACCCTAAGAAAGGCAGCTATATGACAGTTATGGTGGATCTGGTTCGTCCCGTTTCTGAGGGTGGTGAGGTTACACTGAACAGCGCCGATCCCCTCCAGCAGGCCAATATTAATCTGAATTATTTCAATAATGACCTTGACATTATTGCCATTCGCGAAGGAATCCGATTCGCCTACGATGTTCTCAAGAATGGTGACGGGTTCAAGGATATCGTCGAGGACGAGTATCCTTGGGAGATGCCGCTAGACGACGATGAAGCCATGAAGAGGACCGTCTTGGATCGTTCTCAGACCTCCTTCCACCCCTGTGGTACTGCCCGTCTGTCCAAGAACGTCCAGCAAGGTGTAGTGGATCCCAATCTGAAGGTCCACGGAATAAAGAACCTCCGTGTTATTGATGCTTCTGTCATCCCTGTTATTCCGGATTGCCGTATTCAAAACTCGGTTTACATGGTGGCTGAGAAAGGTGCCGACGCTATCAAGCGTGATCATGGAGACCTGTACCGTTAGGCTGGTGAACAGTCTTTTGAATGACCCATGTAGTTAAGTGCATGGAAGCAGAATTTTGCAATGTTCAATGCGATCCAGAGTTATGATTTAATGCCTTGTTCTACATTGATCTTCATGCATGTTGTTGTGAGAATCAGATAATTTCTTGGGGGTATCCGTTCAAACCTCCGACAAATTTAAACCTAGATAATGTTAAGCAGTATCATTGTATTTTTGGATTCCGAAATTAACCAAACTTCCAAGAAATAGGAGCCTAGTTGCAATCCGCTTTTGCCATAGCTTTGTACTAGGCATCGGCAACCTGTCAAATAGTAAATACTAAGTTTCCATATGTATCCTGAAGCACTTTTGGTTTCCTTCCGATTTCACTAGGTATGGCTTCGATAGACTTACACTCCCAGATTATCTCTTGCATATAATGTAGTATTATTTTAGCAAGAAGGGACTCTTGAAAAACGATTATTCTGACCTTGTCATAGTTGTGCTAGAGTTGACATCTCGGGAGCAGCCTTGACCTTCAGAGATTGACCATGACTCCGTAGAATGATTGGCGTATTCTTGACAGCGAGCGGTACGTTCCGGCGAGCGTCAGCGCTTCTGCTATGGAGTTAGCCAGGCCGTCCGTTCTGGTGTTTGAATCACCTAAGAAATTACGGCGCGTTGAAGAAGCGTGGGGTGCGCGGCCCGCTTACCGATTAAATCACATTTAATTTAAATTTAATTATGACTAACAGACCTCAAAATTTTATCAAATTCTGCTTCTAAATCTGTTTCAAGGCCATTGTTCAGAATGCCTAGGGCTATTGATCTATCGCGATATACGGGGATTATTATATCTCAATTTCAAGATGATATATCTGCAGATTCCATAGTGGAATATCTCTGGGAAACTTATCAGGTAAAAGTAACAGAGAAAGCAATTCGACGGCGGCTTCTTGAATGGGGAAAAGGTCGGCGTAACTTTCTACAGGACACCCCTGAGCTTCGTGCCCGGGTAGCTGGATTATACTACAACTTTGGTTTTTCTGATAAAGAGATTATTAATATTTTACAAAAGGAGGATTGCCCGATTACTTCCTGAAATCTTAGCTATCTGCACCGAAAGACGGGCTTGGAAAGAAGGGTCAATCTATCAAATCGGGAAGAAGCTGATGGAGCTCTTTTTGAAGCCATTCAAAAGGAGTTAGATAAGGGTGATATTGAAGGTCTAGAACGTGGTCATCTCTATTCATATTTTCAGATGTATGGGCTTAATGTTGCACGGTATAGCTAAATTTCTTTTATTGCAGCGATATTAAGTAATTAGTACTGACTATACTAATAGGGATCGTCTGTTTGCTACAATTCGGAAATTATATTCTTTAGATGTTACATGTCGTATAGACACTCAACAGTATAAAGGAGCATATATGATCCCAGGTCCAAACTACCTCTGGTCTGTTGATGGATATTGTAAGCTACAATATTGGGAATCGGGGTATACGCAGTAATTGATGCATACTCTCGTTATATTATATGGATACATGTTGGTGCATCCAACCAGACTGCCGATTACATCGGTTGCATTGCCGCCTTCCCCACCCATCCATCTCCATGAATTTCAGGATTCAGCCGTCCAGTAAAACTGAAAACAATAGGATATAATTCGCGCTCTACACGGTTATAGTTGAAGCTCAGCTAGAGGCTGAAACAGTCAGTGTTGCAGGCAGACACTTACTCGGTGCGAAGTTAGCTTCCACCACGGCGCCAAAGTTGGGGCAGTGCCTGATTGATCAATGGTACCCACTAGTAGCAATGCAAAGAATCATTAGTCACCTACGCGCTGTTGGACTGTACCGAAGCAGAAGAGCCCTTCTCGGGCATCACCAATAAGTTCTTTTGACAAACTGAAGCGTGACTGAAGCCATTTCGACATGCTATTATTGTTGGGTGTCAAAAGTTGTACGATGAGGCAGGTACTCCGACAGATTTACTGAGGCATCTGTTAGCTTCACTCGTCTCTCCCAAAGGCCTTGCCCTCTCTATGCAGCACAGTTGTGGCTTTTGACAAGGTATGGTTGTCTACTTCGCTGTCTTGATCGGAAGCATCCGATGATCTCATTGGCTGATAGCTTGCTTCTCACTAGACTGTATCGGGAATAGTCACATCCCAGTGCCGTGCCAAGGTTTACCAGCCCTTACTCAGGCTTCTTGACCTTCTTCTTCCAATACTATTGATATCATATTCTTCCGCCAGCTTACGGAGAGTAGCTATGCAATGAGCGCTATAAGGCCATTTATTTCTCGTTTGTCTACCTTTCTTCGCAAGAAACCGTTTCCCATGCCTTCTCCCGGGTCACCTTTACCGCCTGGCATACTCGTTGATGAAGAGATCTCTCCAGTATACGATTCCAAGTATTTCTACCCAGCGAAGCCTGGAGAGATATTCGCCGATCGTTACCAAACCCTGGTCAAGGTTGGCTGGGGTGTGTCTTCAACAGTATGGCTCGCGCGTGATTTGCAAGTGTAGCCTTCAATAATTGCTGTTCTCTTCGAAGCTTTCTCTATCTCTAACAAGTATACAGGCATATCAAAGGGTCAGAGCTCGTCTTGGCACTGAAAATCATTAATAACAATGCAAGTTCCGCTGATCATGAGCGCAAGGTTGAAGAGTACATTTCCACAGCAAACCCATCACATCGCGGCCGTTCACTTATTAGGACTTTACTAGACTCGTTTAAAGTCAAAGGTCCAGAAGGTTCTTATTCGTGTCTTGTATATCCGCCTATGAGGGAGCCATTGTCAATGTATTAGCGGCGCTTTGACGATAAAAAGTTGCCACTGCCCCTTATTAAAACATACATTCGTGCTCTTCTTACGGGGCTTGAATATCTTCACAAAGAATGTAGGATAGTTCATGCAGGTAAATTCAATCCTTGGCCTTGCTTCCCGTCGGTGATACTGAGCTCAGGCGGCTGCCTAGATCTAAAGCTTGAAAATATCATGGTCACGCTCGAGGACCCAACCGTGCTTGCTGATTTCATAGATTCTCAACTTGAAAAAACCGATGGCTTTCAAAATTGATTCGACGGGACGACCAGTGTATCAGTCCCGTAATGACTTTGGGCCTCTCAAAAGCCTGAGAAGTATACCACAGCTTGTCGACTTTGGCTTGGCAACCAGACTTGAGAAAGACGATGACTGGGGCGTGTGGCCTATTCAGCCAGATTACTATCGGGCGCCAGAGGTAGTACTAGGTAATGGATGGCAAATGCCTGCGGATGTTTGGAACTTTGGTGTTCTGGTGTGTCCCATTGTTCTTTAAAGTTGTTGCATCCACTAATACCAGACCAGCTGTGGGATATGATCGAAGGCAAAGAACTATTTCGGCATATCTATAATCGACAAGGTCACTACGATGCTAAAATACACATCGCCGAAATGATAGCCTTACTTGGTCCACCTCCCCCTGATGTCATAGAAAGGTATCAATATATGCGAGAGTACTCGTGGCCCGAATCTGTTAAACGAGAAGACGGCAGAGTATGCGAGACCGCGGAGGAGTACTTTTGCGGGCCATTCTTTGACAATAATGGTATTACTGGGTTTCCTTTCCCCAATAAGTTATTCCCAGGCTTACGAAACATCCTAGGTCACTTTCTCTACGAAAATATGATCCCCGACCGGAAACTAGGCGACACAGTTTCCTTCCTTGAGGGAGAGGAGAGGGAAGCATTTCTGGATCTCGTCAAGGGAATGCTTGTCTGGCATCCAGATGCGAGGAAAACGGCAGGTGAACTGGTGAAGCATCCTTTTCTTCAACCAAAGCAAACAAGCGCCTGATTTCTGCGAGAGTTTGCTAGCGGAATGAGTCGGAATCGTGGTTGATCCCAGTTTGGCGGTGCCATCATGACCGGTGGAGGCGTAAACGTAATTGTTTTTGAATGACATCTAATATTGTCATCTTATCTGCTTTGATCGGAAAGTAATAGCATTATACCTTAAAATTGGATCCAAGACATCAATCACACTTTCATCAGGGTCATGGTTCTAAACGCTTTTGTGACTCAAATGAACATAACTTGCTGCTGAAGGGAGATTCGAATATTATGTTACTAAAGAGCTCTTTCAATGCAAGTCGTCGAACTAATTCGGTCTGTGGGAAGTTCAAAGAGGTGAAGCGGAACAATAAACTTCCGAATGCTCAATATCGTGACTTGAAGCTATTCCAAAGTCAACAAGTATTACGTCTGACGAGTTTCTCCTCTCATTACCCTTCTAGTCTTGTTGTTTGACTGCCGGGAAAGCCATAGTAAATCCGAAAAGAAGTAGGATATCAACTACAATATGGCTTAAGATGGTTGGCTTCTTGTTGGGCGAGACTAGCTTACCAATTTTCCGCACCCTGATCGATAATGTACACATAATCTAGTTCGAATGAATTGGACTGGGGAAAGGAACCAACTCCCACTTCTCAAGAAGATCCGGATCGTCACACAGTTGTTCGATCATTCGGAAAGTAGATTCATCATGAGGAGAGCTTGTCTGCCCTTGCGGATAATAGAAACGACACCATTTCCCTGGAAATGAAAGTCAGTAACTTCGTAAATCACATCCGTCATCCTACCAAACTTTGAGCCGTATGTTTCAAATGCCTCTACACACCATTTTCCCAATTGATTTCTGAGGTACCTATGTATGTCTTGCTCGTGGACGAGGGCCTTATTCTAGAGTATTTGAGATAGCAACTTTTCAAGCTTGGTTAACTTCGAGAATAAAATCTTCCAGCTTCGCTACCCAAAGATCAGGTAAAAGCAGCTATGTAGCACAGACAAACACAAGCTTTTGTCTAAGGAGCAAAGAGATCGATGCGACAAGTTCCTAGATGATGGCACGTAGGCTTGAAATGATTATATAAGGACAAAACAGGAATGACGTAACTCATGAATTCTCGCCCAATCAGAACCCAATACTGTGAACCAATCAGAATGCAGATCCGATTGAGCAGTCTCGTATATTGCTTGCTACGCTTCGCTCCGCTGCGCAAGTACTCAGTGACCCCCGACCCCCTTTTTAAAAGAGATTGGAAAATAAATACAGTAGGTTAGTTAGGAGCAATGAAGGCCCTCAACATTCAGGTGAATGTCCTTACGAAAGCTCAACATGCAAACCCACCCATCATCATACCCGAGAGCAAGAGCTCCATCTGTAGAAGCCGAGCAAGTCGGTTGGCAGTACTCATGCGGGAGCCAGAGTACTTTGACACCTTCAAGAATCACCCAGTCACCTAGTGAGGATACGGATACTCTGGTGTAGGACACATGTTGAATTGATTGGCAATTACTCCTAAAGGGCTGGACATCGAGGGAACCAATGTCGGTCTCTAGGCATGGGCCGTGCGTAGAGAAACTGATAGTTCTGACAGCAGCGTTTGTACCAAGGGACTGGAATTGCTTAGTGGACTTGACATCTCACAGCCGGACGGTTCTATCATAGGAGCCTGGGGCCAGTATCTGACCCTCTGGAGAGGAGGCCACAGAATTGACCTAAATTGCAAGGCCCTTGAGGACCTGGAGTTGTTTGCCGGACTTAGTATCCCATAGCCGGACAGTTCTATCACGAGAGCCTGAGGCCAGTATCTGGCCGTCTGGTGAGAAGG